TCGGGTCGACCCGAAACCGAGGCAGGTCGGTTTCGGGTTTCGAAAACCGACCCGTTTATAAAACCGGGTCGGGTTGACCCGAACCCGAATAAATCAGGGTCACTTACGGGTCGGGTCGGGTTCTACCCGTAACCCGAAATTGACAGGTCTAGCTCCCGCCATTAGAGAGCATTCCCTCCAAGGCCCATCTCGCCAACGCCAAAACTCCTCCGCTCACGGCCCGACCTGCTCTAGCTCAAGAAGGACTGATGCAGACGACGTCCCAAAAATGAGCCCTCTCGCCAACGCCAAAACTCCTCCGCTCCCGCCTGACCTGTTGCTCAGCTCCCGTGATACCAGCTCTGCGAAGCAATACCACTCTGTCTCCGCCAATTATATTTCCGCCTTCAGATCTACCGACTGCTTTTTCTCACTCCAGTTCAATGTTGCTCTCGTACCCACGGATCGAGCAGAACCACAGCTCGACGTCGATTTCAACTCCACCGTCGATTCCAAGGAGTACAATCAGTCTGACGTTGTGCAAGAATTGGACAGCAGCTTTGCTGAAGAAAACTCCAATTCAAACACTCAGCACCCCGACACGTTTGTTCCTGAGGCCGAAGATTATTCAGACATTCATGTCGTTTCCGCCCAGGTGTGTATCTGCTCAACACAGCCACTTGATCTTGGAGAAGCCACAGCAATGGCGGAAACATCACACAAGGAAGACAAAGCTTCGGCATCCAATGGAAGAAAGAAGAGGCGTCGAGCCAAGAGTTTAAAAAATAAAGAGGTGGAGAACTAGAGAATGACCCACATTGCCGTTGAACGCAGCCGGCGGAGGCAAATGAGCGAGTACCTTACTCTGCTTCGCTCTCTCATACCTCCCTCTTACGCACAAAGGGGCGACCAAACCTCCATCGTTGGCGGCGCCATGTGAAAGAGCTTAAGCAGCTTCTTCAATTTCTTGAGGTTCGTAAACAAATCAATTTCAGCTTCAGAAACCAACCAATCGCTCAAGGCGTCGATGCATTAGAGCGAGATGCTCCAAGCTTGTCAAAGTTGGGATTAAACTCCACCGCAGAGCTGCACCCAAAGACTGGACCAGGCGGGGAGTTGAAACCTGCTGCAATGCCTCCGACTAGTGTGATGACTAGGTGGGAGATTGAGATGCCAGCCATCATTGCCCGATCTATATCGATACTCTCTGATGCAGGGCGTGGACAATATAGTGTTGTTTTCATGTCCGGAAGCGGAAGCTCCATCAAAGGCATTAGCTCGCCATACCCGCCTCAATGTGTTAATGATGAAGATGAACACAATGATATTTTCATATCAGAGGCTTCCTTTCTCACGGTATGTCATGATCTTCTTGCCTTTAGCATTCCTGAAATAAATATAAATGATGTGGAAGTGTATGACAATGCTACTGGATTTGGTACTCGGAGTATTTTTACTACAGGTGTGAAAATTTCTGGTCTGAATTTGATCGACAAAGCCAATCTAATGCAATGCCCCCAAGTTGTTCGACGTAATGTCAATGAAGGGTTTGACACCAAATTTGTTGGGCTTGGTGATAAGTCTGTTGGTACTTCAATTATTGTAATGATACAAGCCAACATAGCAAAGGAAAATGCAGAAGATGATGGAACACGAAATACATTGATTAACATGCTTTTTGGAGGCCTGAAAGAGTGGCCTGGAAATCCTATCATGTTCTCAAGATATGACACAAGTATAAGTGAGATCACGCCGGATCAAACTACGGAGGAAGGAAGACATGCTAGTAATTTCTTCTTTGCTGTCTGCTTGCAATACTATGGTGCCTTTGGTTGTGGATACACCAGACCCAGCGCAGAAGTTGATAGATTATCAAGGAAAATCCCTTGATGAACTGACGTTGGGCTATGCAGGCAGTTTATTAAAAGTAGTTGGAATAAATATTGAGAACAAAATTTTCTACCCAGGAGGATTATTATCTCCCTTCCGACAACGCGTCTCGACGGAGTCGAGCCCTTTTTGACGCAAGGGGAGAATGATGCAGAGCATCTTAACTAAATTGTTCCTTAGGCATATTTTAATTAGTTTGTTATGTGCTTCTTACAAGTATCTTCTAGAGTATTCTATTTAGCTTATATAAGCAAGTTTTGTAGTAGGAAAAGGCATTGAAGAATATTAAGACATTTTAAAGCTTTGTTTCTCTTCTTCCCTGGATTGGGATCGAAATCCTTCTTGCAGGTCGATTCTTCCGACGATCCACTACATCAACACTCATAAGGAAATTCTTACTTTCATAGAGGACACACGTTGCATGCCATAAATTTCTACCTAGCTCCCTTCAATTAGGAAATGGATGTAAATACTGTCAACCTCATTGTTATTCCTATTGGCAACAAAGCTAATATTTAATTGGGTAATTCTCTTACAACTCCTTTCTCTAGAATTGACACAAGTTTATTAGTTATAAACCTGTTGCAAAGGTACGAATCTACTGATGAATTTGTAAACTGCATGTATACTTGCAGTCAAATGTATCTATCCTTGTACTGTATGATTAGATTCTATTATTACTTTCTATTGAATACCCATGGAATATCTCGGTTTAAATGTTTTGTTTGTGCTACAAAATCATTCTACTGAGCTATATTTTGTATACTTTCATCCCTTTTTTTATCCTATATTTCAGGAAAAATAGATTGCTAACATTTGGCTAGTGCAGCATAAACTTATGTAACATTCAGGTTTTTGTCTTCTAAAATTGCTCATGCATCCATTTAGCTGCCGGGTAATTAGGTAGTAACTAGACTCAACTCAACCCAAAACCCAAATTTGCCGGGTAATCCCCAATCCTAGTAAAAATCTGGCTGGTTTTGGGATCATCAATGGTAACCTGACTCGATTTTTACCAGTACTGAAATTTTCGCATGCACTCCTAATAGCTGACATAGGACTCCTAGCTATAGTAGTTTTGGCTGAAAAATAAATTTGTGCATTTATCACCTTATTCTTTTGTCGTCTAGATAAAACATTCTCAAAGCCTTCCAAATTTATAGAAAGATTATCTGCATTTGATTTCCTTTAAGTAGTCTTAATGTGTATTTCAAGAACATTAGCAGCAGTTGCAGACGTGTAAGATGGATCTAAACTTTCATCACCATTGAAATCATTTCCAGCCATAGCCTTCAAAGTTATACCAAACTCATCAACTTAGTTGTACAATTATTGAGTAACAACTAATATTAACCCCACCATCAAAGACTTATTGACAAACATCATGTTGTAGTTCTCATGGCAAGGAGATATTCCATAAGATGTGTCAGAACTATCATACAGACACTCCTTTACTAACAATGATCTGAATTGAAGAAGTTCTATCAATATTAGTTTTATTTGATAATGATACCTCTACATTTAGGGGCTGTTTGGTAGCAGGATTTAGGCTGGATTTGAGGAGGATTTGAGCGAAATCCAGCCAAACGGTCTGAAATGCAAAACCAAATCTCACGGCAAATGAAAGCCGTCGTAAACGGAAAATTCCGCCTTTTCGTGCTAAATCCCGGATTTATGAAATCATGTTTTTTGCCGGATTTACGAATTCTGATGGCTTGAGAGGAAGAGTCCGCTCTTTAAATCCATTATATAGCCAAACAGTCACACGGGATTTAATTGTATTTATCATGAATGTTACCAAACAGTTTTTAGGATTCATGCCCCTCGGGATTTCCGAAATCCAGATTTAGCGGATTTACGAAATCCTGCTTAAATCAAATACTGGGTGCTACAAGACAGCCCCTTAAAGTGTTGGTTGAATCCCATGCCTCGATAGTATTACAGGCAAGGTCCAGAGGAACATTTGGAATCCTTGCAGGTGATAGCATTATTAGCATCTTTACATATGATTAATCTGTGCAGAGTTACGATGGTAGCATTGTTAACATCCTGAGAATTATTCATGACTTCTTGATTAAACTAAACGTCCCTCTCCACAATATCATTATCCACACCTTACTTGTTAAGACCTAAACTACGTATTGTTTTCTTAACAGAGGATGAAGAACAAAGCGAGGGATCCTCATGACCATGAGTTTTTCAATGAGAGCAACACGTTCAAAACCTAGCTTCTGCCTTATCTGCCACTTCCCATTTCACACCTCCATATCAAATTTAACAATAACATCCAAATTAACTAGAACTCTATGTTAGATGGATGAGATAAAGAAGCTGAAGCTGCATCTGCTTTAAGAGGCTTATCACATATGGAACCCAATTATTAAAGTATACCATGATTAATCAAAGTACTGTTTAAAGAGAGGGAAAGTGTTCCAAACAGGTGAATAGAGTATGGCCTGATTAATCAAATGAACCCTTAGGAGAGGTAAAGAGATCCAAAAAAGCGTTATTGGTGATTCAGCTTGCAAAGTCTGGAGTTTACTTCAACAGCCTCATAGAAAACTAAAAACATAACAAGAACATATATTAAAAGGTCTTGTGTAAGTGGATGTATGATGCAAGCATTTGAGGCCCAGTGAGTGCTCATTAGTCTGCCAAGCTTTCAACGGTTCAGACTACATCTGAACCAAGTTGATGGAACCTACCATGATGAACCAATGGCTAAATTATGAGGGCACAACGAAAGGCAAACTCTCAAAAGGGTGAAAACCTAATTCTTGATCTCACCATCGGCCTACTTGCAGCTATTGATTAGTACCTAAGAATGATCCTTGTTCCTCATCCTCTTGTGTTTCAGTTTCATGTTGTACTATTGTTTTTTTTATACGTTTGAAAGAAGCATTTATTCTTAAGTTGGTTGAAATATAATGTTATAAAAATATTTGTTTTTTGCTTACTGAAGTTTTCTAATTTCAGGTATATGAAATCAAATTGGGGCATTGGGCCATTTTTTAGCATTTGAGCTTAGCAACTGCAAAATTTCAGTTGCAACAATGATCATTTCTAAATCTAGAGATGTTTGTCTTCCAATAATGAATTTGATCAGAACAAAAGGGTTTTCCATATTACAACAATTACATATGGAGGAAAGGCTGCTTCGGGCATCTTCAGATAATTGGTGTATCATTAATAATGGAACAAACCAACCTAATATTGTCATGGGCATATCCGGGTAACTCAAAATTCCATGCTCTACACTCTTGTTGATTGCAGCTCAATCTATCTAAAATACATCTCAGCTTTTGCAACATCATGATAGGTGCATTCATTGCTAATATTAAGTTTTTAACCTAAACAACCTAAACAAATTCATTCACTTTGATTATCATTTGACAAATATAACGACAAGTGGCCCATCAAATTCACTTGAAGGTTACAATCAATCAATTTTTAGCTTACGTAGTTCTCAGAATGAGCCAGGCCTGGTTTGGATTGAGCTCAAATTTGTCAATTAGTTTAAGGGTAAAGAATTTAACTCAGTTCAAACTTGATCACGGGTAGATTTTTGCTTGATGATATCCGATTGTAACACTGGATCATGCCTAAAATAGATTTAAATTAGTTCAAGGCCTTTAAACTACCTATTCCTGGGTTGTGTCAAATCAGCTTCAATCTAAAGTTGAGTTCGGGTACAATCTAGATGAGATTGGATTGTTATGGCCCCAGTTGTAATATTTTTAAGAGATTTTCTTTCAATGACCAACTAGAAAATCTTATAAACTTGCATCTGTTTAAAACCAGGAAGCCTGAAGAGCTTATTGAAGTAGAGTTGGTGCTTCAAGATCAGGTTCCTGTGATTCGAAGGTTCACTGGAGGAGGCACAGTAATCGTTGATGACAGGACTATTTTTGTCACTTTTATTTGTAATAAAAATGCTATTCCTGGGCTACAGCCATATCCTCGTCCGATTATGTCTTGGACAGGGCAATTGTATAAAAATGCCTTTGAAGCTTATGGTAATTTCCAGCTTTGTGAAAATGGTGAGTTAGCTTCCAAAGATGGGCATTCGTATTATTCTGCTATTTGCAGGTTTAGCTATTCTTAATTATTATTAGTTCTCAACCCAGGTATTTTCCAGTGTCAATGGTATACATAGATTATGGTTCATCATTTATGTATATTTCATGAATGTTTGTCATGTATGCCTGCTTATTATGAATTATTTGTCCATTGTGATTGCTTGTTAAAAATTCAAAAGTTTATTTATTTTAAAAACTAAATTAATGGCGAGTTATTCTCCAGTTAACATGATGATCAAAGGATTATGTTTTAATTTTTTTTGACACATTCATAATAGTTAGATAATCAGATCTGGTTGCAAGTTTTGAAGCTACTAAAATGATGTTTTTGTTTTTAATTTGAATATAAATGTGCTATACTTATTAGCTTTAGTTGCCTTATCCCATTTATTTGGGGTCAGTATTATTAGTCCTCATTCTTCATTTGTTCTTGTAGAATGTTCTATGCCAATCACAGAAATTTCGCTCACTGCTTTCCTTAGACATGCATTTCACCTGTTTAGATCATGCATTCAGGCTTCATTTGGGACGACTTTCTTATTGCTTCTTTTAAGAAGCAGCTTTTTAGTATAAAATTTTTAATTTTTATACTAAAAAACTACTTAAAAGAAGCAGTAAGAAATCCGTCCTAAACGAAACCTCATTCTTCATGAATTCGGTTGGAATACCGAGCACACTGCTTTGCTCTCTATACTTAATTTTATGCCACTCTAAGAATTTTCAGTACACCAATATCCTTAAAACATGCATTTCACCTATTTAGATTATGCATTCGGTCTCCGCAAATTCGGTGGGAATGCTCAATCTATAACTAAAAATCGCTGGATCCACCACACATCTTTTTTATGGGATTATGATGCCAAGAGCATGGAGTACCTGAGATTACCCAAGCGAGCTCCAGAATATAGATTGGTATGATCTATTCTGATTTTGAGATATTGTGAACATAATAAATCTTGTTTTTTTTTTTTTCTACTTTCTGAAGCTATTGCAGTTTCTTTTCCTACAATCGGTTCTCTTGTTAAGCGTCATTTGATCTTCTTGCTTCTTCTTCTTTTTTTATTTAATTTTTTTGAAATGTTTACTAATACTGACTACCGTATTCGTTAGGCAAGAAATCATTCTGAATTTTTGTGCCGAATGAAGGATTATCTGACATCAAGATCAACTTTTATTGAAAGAACGATTTCTTCTCTTGAAGATCATTTCTCAGTTAGAATCACAGAATTCGATTGCGTCATTGATGCTAGTGAATCATCACAAGTCCTTACAACCAAATTGTTAACAAACCAAGAGCTGGAGAAGGCATACTCGACCCAGCACCAGAGCTTCCAAAAGTAGCGCAGCTGAGGTAAGTATATTTTTTTGTTCAAGTAAAATTTCCTACTGTCTTAGAATAATGTCTTGATTAAATTCTTTTGTACTAATTTATTGTATGATCTTTGTTTAAAATATTCATATACTGATAAGCATCTAAATCATTTATAATCATTAATCTTTTCTGAATTTGAAGATTTTATTGTCAGATGAATTATGTTTGCTGCATCTATCATTGCTTTATACTGAGGCTTTTAAAAGCCTTTCAGTAAATTGATTTTATATTTTTTTTAGTGGAATTTCATAACGGCTTAAAAATATAATTGTTTTGTTTGATGAAGAACAAATTCAAAATATAATCTTGATGAATTTAAAACAAACCGTTTATTTCATTTTTACTATATTCCAAAACCAGTCCGCTTTGGCCGATTTTTTGAATAGATCACAAGTTGTTGTTGCCGGCCACCACCACCACCAAAAGCCATGCTGTTAATAACAGCCATTACTGCCCTGGCTGCCGCCCACCGCCGCCACTCCACATTCGTCTGTTGTTGTACCCTATAGCTATTACCGGTGACCATTATTTTAATTATACTTTTTGTAATAAGAAGCTTAATAAAAAAGTCGTTCCAAATGAAACTTTAGTTTGCTAAGTTGTGCTGATAAGGCTTGTTTTGGCTAGCTATGAAAAAACTTGATAGGAGGGCTAATTAGTTGACTTGATGAGACTCATTTATTTTTTAAACGAATTGCTTGTATAAAGTTTGATTAGCATAATATAAATCAAACACAAATTGAGCTCATACCAAGCTCAAATAATCAAGATTTTAAATGAACTAAGTTTGAATGCAATATAAAAAGCGCTCAAATCGAGATCAGCTTGAGCTTGAATAGAATTTTCATGGACGATCTCAAGCTCAAACAAGCTCTTGAAACATATAATATTTATAACTACAATTCATAGGGATGACTTTCTTATTGCTTTTTAAAACGATTTTTTAGTTCAATTTTTTTTTTTGAATCAGGAATTTTTGTACTCGAAAGTTGTTTTAGAAAACAGTAAAAAAGCCGTCCCGATCTAAATTTCAGTGTGAGAAACACAATTCATAGGGAAAGGTCTTTGATGACAAAATAGCGAAATGAATAGAATGACCTTGATAATATAGTGATATTTATATAATTTTTAGAAGTTTTCTATGGATAATTCAACAAAAACACAATGAACATTCAACTTACCATTGAATTATTTGAATTAAATGAAAATAATATGAGGATAAGGCAGAAGAAAAAAAAAAAGAAAGGCAAAAAATAGGAAGGAGAGGAATGAAGATAAGAGCTACCACTATGGAGGATCAGGTGCCACATCCCCCTGATTGGAGAAATCATATAGGTGCACTGTATATTCACAGTAGCTGCCTCTCTATTTTCCAAACGTCGAAGCTCTGATAAATAGTAGCTTTTTTGAAAGCACGGGGAAAAGTTAGCCATAGACAGTAGAAAGTGCTTTTCAGGACTTAGAATTGGCGGCTATCTTTGGCATTTTATATGCCTATTGGGCTAATGAGATAAAACATCCACCTTTTCTTTTTAATTTTAAAATTATATTAAAATAATTTAATGAAGTATTACCGAATATATTTAAATGTGATATCAATCATTAAGAAATATTAAGGTTTCGTTTGGGATGGCTTTTTTATTGCTTCAAAAATTAAATTTTTTATATTATAACGCTTCTTCAAGAAGTAATAAGAAAGTCGTCCCAAACGAAGCCTAAAGCTTTATTTGGGATAACTTTCTTAATATTTTATGAAGTAGTTTTTTAGTATAAAAATATCAAATTTAAAAAAGTTCGTACTAAGAATCTGTTTATAAAATAGTAAGAGAACTATGGCTTCGTTTGGTTTGAGACTATTTTCTTACTGTTTCTTAAAACAAAATTTTTTTTTTTGGGACATTTAGGCCATTTAAGGCAAACACACACACACAACGCATACACATAGACTCGAACCTTGAACCTCTTAGTTGGAAGCCAAAGCTCTCAACCAATAGGCCAAGGAGAGTTGTGTTTAAAAAAAAAAAAAAAATTTAGTATAAAAATTAAATTGTTTGTACTAGAAAGCAGCTTTATGAAGTAATAAAAAAATTGTCCCAAATGAAGCTTAAATCATATAATTGCACTTTGTGCAGGCCAATTTATCCTCTATGATTGATATCCTAAAATGAAATGTAGCTTAGCAATGATAGCTAGTGAGAAAATTGGAGGCTACCATTTAGGTTATTGCAAGCTCAACATCAATGGTCCCTTTGATAATCTAAGGCAATAGATGTGTCACCATCTATAATCTGGTTTTATCACATTCTCATGGGGGAATCTCTATCTTCATTGTGATCCTTATCATATATAGACAAATTATTATGGACATAGCTCTTTTTAGACTCTAAATAGAGTAAGATCAATGTAAGATAGATCTCTTACAAGTTTTTGTTAGGAACTGAAATCAAAGTGGATCAAAATTGAACTGCATGGAAGTAATAGTCAAATATTTTCTTAACTCAAAAGCTTCATGTTTTCGAGTGAAAGTTATTTCTCAGTTTGAAGACGTTAAAGAAATGTTAGGATGGCTTTTTTAATGCTAAGAAATTTTATACTAAAAAACTGCTTTAAGAAGCAGTAAAAAAGTCGTCCGAAACGAAACCTTAGAGTTATAAATCACATGAATTGCTCGATCATGGCAGAACCTTTAGCCATAGCACCACTTGTAAGATAGTCGAAATCAAAGGAGATCATATATGTTAGTGGCGATGCCTAAGAAAAAAATCAAAATGGCCAACAAACTATGGTTAATTTAAAATGACTTAACTAGATTAAGTTTAAATGGGATTGATTGGCCTTTTGGATTAGGACTCCTTACCTAACATCAAATCTTCCTTGATGTTACTTATAAAAATTTGGACCATTTCTCGAATTAAGCGTGTCATCCTTGTGTAGGGGCCATGCTAATCTTCTGTGTCGTTCCAATTTTATCAGATGTCTCCGAAGAGACAAATATGAAAAGATGTTACTTATAATACAACTTTTGAATCCTTTCTTGTTCTTTTGGTAAAATTTTCTCCCATTTTTCTTCAAAAAGGCTTTTTGTATCATAAAAATAGTACTTTACATTGCCTTTTGATCGTCATCTGGAGATTAAGGATTCATTTGACTACAAATGCGCAAGTGTTTGGTTACACTAACGAAGAGGAATAGCTATATGTTAAATAGCTTCATCATACACAGCTCACTTTGGTCTGTTGGTTGAGAGCTTATGCTTCAAACTAAAAGGTCTTGGGTTCGAGTCTTTGTGTATGCGTTGTGTGTGCGAGTTTGCCTTAAATGGCCTAAATGTCACAAAAAAAAAAAAATAAAAGCTTCATCATACAGTATCTAACTAATTCTGAATCTCGGTGTAAAAATCTATAAAATCTATAAAGCACTTACAAACATGTGATTTTTTTAGTCTAATCTCTATCATTAATTGGAATACAACAATAATGTTTTAATACACACTCCTATAAAAAGTTATCATAGGATCACTAACCCATGAAAAGGGGGCTTTGTTTGAGATAGCTTTTTTCAAAGTAGTTTTTTAATACAAAAAATTTTAATTCAATTTTTTTTTTACTAAAAACTAATTTAGAAAGCAATTCAAAAGTTGTCGCAAACGAAGCTCAAGTCAAGTCGAGTTGGTGTCAAACTCAAGCTACCCTCGAACATGAGTCGAGTTCATTGAACTACTGAGCCAAGTTGAGTTAGCATTGATTCAGACCGTTGGTTTGTGAGCCGAGTCATTTAAAAATGTTGTTGTAAAATACATTTAAATATAATAATTTTAAGAGTCTAAGTCCAATGTTGTTAAAATACTTAAAAATTACATTTTATTTTCTTTTATAAGTGATTTCTTATTTTTTTTAATTTCTCATTATTTTTATTATTTTGTTAAATTGCTGTTGAAATCAACATCATTCTCTTTCATAATAAACTAATTTGCTCACAAGTCAACTCAAACTCATAGAATAAAGCTACTGCTCGAACTTAATTAATTAATCAAATTCAGATTCAAACTAATTAGATGCGGCTCATATCAAAATATTAATCAAATTAAAAAAAAAATTGGTTCCAACCTACCACTAAATATCTATCAAACTAGATCATTTCCACAAATTATTATCACTCTAACATAGCTCATAATTAAAAATTACTCTTAAAAAGGACACTTATGGCATTGTTGCATCAACATCCATTGTGATTGAAAGGGCATCTCTCAAAGTTCTTTTATCAAACCATTTTGTAGGGTGCTACCATCATCTAACTTTACCTTACTATATTTGAATAAGGGGTGTCAATTTCGGGTAACGGGTCGGTTCGGGTCGAACCCGGAATTGACCCGGGTTCAAACGGGTCGAACCTAACCCGACCCGAATAGGTAAACGAGTCGAAAATGCAATCCTAGACCCGACCTGGCGGGTTGCCGGGTTGACCCGACCCGGGAACTGACTGACAGGGTTTGGCGGGCGGACTCGCCATATATATATATATATTCAAAAAAAGAAAAGAGAAAGCTCCAATATGTATAAACAGTAGAATAGACTCTAGACCTAGCATGTCCATATGTGATGCTTGTTTTGTGGTCCATTTGTACTTTAACTCTATTGATATTTATTCTAACACTTACAAAGCTACAAATACCCTACTCTACCTATATTACTATTGATGTAGAGGAAGCCAAAAATAGAGAAAAAAAACATCACTAATAACTTGTTGATTCAAAGAATATCAAGAAGTTGAAAAAAAAATTGAGAAGAATATACATTACTTAAGTCAAAATGAAAAAAAAATAAAAAATCTAACATTAGAAAATAAGATAATCTTAATGAAAATCATAACTATTGAAAAATGATCAAAATAGAATGTAATTTTAATCATAAATTTATTTGAAGATCAAAATAATATAAAATAATATGAGACTCTTGAATATGTAACCGCTCAAAATATTATTTTTAGTTAAAAAAAATGATGTCAAACGTATAAAATAAGCATCATTAGTTTTCTAGTCTAAGTGAAATTTTTGAGCTTTGGATGATGGTCCTAAGCACATAGTTACCCCAATTACGCATTACACAACTACCATTGTCATACTCTTTATTGAAGAAACAAAGAAAGAAACAATTCCAAAATGAATTGAACCTTCTTTGTACATCTTTCTTAAGCAATGGCATCTATCTTCTTATAATTGTCAAAACATTAAATGTCTTGATAGGATGGACCTCGCCCTAAGGTTCTGGTATTCATCACTCACATGTGATTTCTCTTGCATTATTGGTCTCACATATAATATATAATGGACCACATCACTCTCTAATGTTCAGGCAAAACAAGAAACCTACATTCAAATAATTGTCCATATCACCATTTTAGACTTCGGGGTTTGAATAAAGTCTACAAATAAGCAAATGCACCGTGGGTGTCTACTTGAATTTTGCCTAAGGACCACTGGTCTTATGTGATGATGAACCTAATGCAAGAAGACAAGAAACTCACATTGATTCTTAACTATTTTAGTCTGCTAGCTAAGTAAAATAAAAGGTGAAAACTTTGCAAGTGGAGTGATTCCTCTTCTCTCTGAAGAATTAGTATGGAATCAATGGAGTTGGCATCAAGTGCTTGTGGAAACTTTATATCTTTTGTGTTATTGAAAGTTGATGATTGTCATGCATCTATGATTGATTTGATATCACTTGGACAGCAATGACCATTTTGATGATTGTTGATGTTTTTATTTATGCAAAGTCTCTCATGTTTGGCTAAACTCAACATTATTTTAATAGATTTTATTGAGTGAAGAGATAAAAATTTTTAAAAAAGTGTGATAGAGGAGAAATTATTCTGTGCGGACGTCGAACGTCGTTTATAGACCAACCATAATGCATCACATCACCTCCTGCTCGGTACTGCAACTCGTGACGTATTCTGGTTGGTCTTCAGACGATAAACTGTGTTCGGCATCTGCACAGAATAATTTCTCGTGAAAGAGACATCTATCATTTCATAAGAGAACATCTATTGAATTACTATATGCTTTTTTTTGTAAATAACCAAAGTGATGTGACAACATCATTTGTTTGTATGCTAGTAGCATAAGATCTTGTTGGAGTGATAATGACTAACTATGTGGAGCTTTTGCTTGTGGTTACGAAGGATTTGAGGGCACTAATGATATGCTTTTAAAAGATATAAAAGCTTAGTAAGTGAGAGACTGAGCCAAAGTGATGAAGGTCCACCTATTAGCTGTAAACATTTAAACAAATCTTTATTTGGCCATGCATTTATTGTTACATCCAATAGACCAAAAAATATTTTCCTACTGCTTGTTTTTTACCATCAAATTGTAGTGAAAAGTACTTTTTTTCAAGTTATTGAAGTTTTGTTGGTTGAAATGTGATGAAAGTACGAGTGTATGGTGCGAGAAAGTCAAGCAGACTCAAGTTTGAGCTTGATTCATTAGTCAATTTCGAGTTTGAGCTCAAGCTCAATAAGGCTTCGTTTGTGACAGTTTTTTGCTACTATTTTTTCATTACTTTCAAGAAATTTTTATGATAGAAAGTTTCTATAGAAAATAGTAAGAAAATTGTCCCTGATGAAGTATTAATGAGTTTGAGCTAGCTTAAGAGTTAGCTTGTTTTTTATAAATGAGAAAAATTAATTTTGAGTTGTTTTTTGTTATAATACTCAATATAAAAATATAAAATTAGATGATAAATAATGAGAAAATACTGAATATAAGGAAGTCAAATATAATTTTTAAATATTTTTGACAAATTTTTTTACTTAAGACTCTTAAATTTTAAGATATTATTAATGTATTTTATATTTACATTTTTGAAATGAGGCAGTTGTTATATTATGAATTTTTTTCTTATAAAAAAGTGGTTCTCCTAATTTATTTTCTTTTTCAATAGATATTATGAATCAATGATTAAATAGAAGACTTTGGATACTTTTTTTATTTAATTTTTAAAATATTTATTTACATAATGAAGCTTTATCTCTTAATGATTGTGATTAATAAAATAGATTAATAATAAATTGTATTTGCGTAATGATTACATTGCCGACCGGGAAAAGATAAGCAAAGCACTGCGGAGGCCCGCGGGGCCGCCGCCACCCACGCGCCGCAAACACGGCCCATCCAGGCCCGCCAAAAGCCACGGCACGTGTCACCCATTGATTCCCATTCAACGCACGCGGCTCCCGGTCGCCGGTCACCCCTTAGAGGAATTACCGAGAGTTCCGGTCTTCTTCCGCGAGGGTTTTAATATAAGCTTTAAAGAGTCCGACCGAGATCAGAGATGAACGGGTTCGAGGAGGCAGTAAACTGTAAACCTAAGCATTATTTTTAAATGGCAATTCTGTCCCTGAGCTGTAACCGATGCTGTAGTAGGAAATGGAAGGGGTAATTCGGACATTTCGAAAGAGATAATGCAACCGTTGTTCCGGATCGCCTCCCGAGGTTTGGCACGAAAACCGATGAGATTATGGTTTCGAGAAAAAGGACGGCAGAGATTTTTGCATTTCCGGGTAAGGAAAATCTTTCTTTGTGGCCTTCCTTTTCAAAATTTTAATAATTTTTTAAAAAGCTTTTTTTTCTTAATTATAAATTCACATAAATATTACGTGAGGTGATGCGAGCTAATTAAGATTTATGTGGGACTTTTATTTTCATTTTTAAAGTAAATTTTAATGAAAATATTTTT